CTGCTCCGCTACCTGTTGCCCTTTCTGTTGTCAGCAGGATAAAATACAGTAGTTTTGGATGGCTTAATACAGTAAGCAATGCTGCTGCTACTGCAACAGGGAAGGTTTTTGTGCCATCTGGTGCTGTTGCTGCTGTTTTTCATAATTCTATATCACACAGTCCTCAGCACGTTAACCCAAGAACTAATTGCTTGGAACATATTCTAGTTTATACTCCGTCTGGTCATGTAGTTCAACATGAGCTTCTGCCATCAATTGGGGCAGATTCAGGTGCTCAAAATTCAAGAACTGAGACAGCTTCTTATACACACGTACAAGAGGATGACTTGAGGGTGAAAGTTGAACCCGTTCAGTGGTGGGATGTATGTAGGAGGTCAGATTGGCCAGAAAGAGAGGAATGTATTTCTCAGACTACTCTTGAGAGACAAGATGTTGCTGAAGTTATTCAAAGTAAATCATGTTGTGAGGAAAACAGGATTGATTCTCTGGAAATTAATGATAGTGTCAGTGGAGAAAAGACTTCAAAACCCTTTTCTACGAAGCCACATGAGAGCTTCCACTGGTACCTCTCTAATGCAGAGGTGCAAGTAAACTCCTGGAGGTTACCAATATGGCAAAAGTCTAAGGTAGTTCATTTGTTTAAAGTTCTGTTGCTTGTAATTTTGTGGCATAGCTCAGTTGAGATTTATTTTTCTTATTGTTATAGATTTCTTTCTACATGATGGATTCTACAAGAGCTGATATTTGTAAAGGTGGTGAGTTTGAAATTGAAAAGGTCTCAGTTCATGAAGTTGAAATCCAACGCAAGGAATTGTTACCTGTGTATGACCACTTCCATAGTATCAAATCAGGGTGGAATGACAGGTGATCACCATTTCATCATACCTTTTGCAGCTCTTTCTACCAATATTTTGAACTTCCGCATTTGATGTTGATATCTCTGTTGCTTGAAGTTTTTGGTTATTACTGATTCGGACCTAGTGAAAATGAAATGTTTTATTTTGGTGGATGATTCGTGTAACATGCCACTGGAATGGGTGGATGTGCTAAATTTGTCTCAGAATTCTCATAGGACATATGAGGCTTAGTTTGAATGAAGAATGTGTTTAGGGCTCATTATTGTTGTCCTTGTTGTTGCTGTTGTTGTATTTAGCATAGCCTTAGGTACTCCCTAAGGATCCCTCTTACTTAACATAGAGTGAGTCTGTGTCTCGTCTCTAAACATACAGCAAAGCTCCCCAACGATTTTATGGTCTTGAATCTCACCATTTGTACTGGGAAACAGAAGATATAAGATGATATGACCTTCTCCCTCAACTATCATGTATTTGCATAAGCTACTCAGGAGGGAAAGAAAGAGTGTGTTTGGCTGAGTTTGAATGAAGGTAGTTTGTAGGGTGAATACGAAATATGCTAAAATCATTGGATCTTTTCTTGTACAAAATGTTGGACATGGGTATGTATTGGACTTTCATAAAAAGTTTTTGTCGTAAAATACTTAAGAGGAATTCAAAGTGTCCAACAAGTTTCAGATACATATATGTTAAAATGATGTGAAAGTCCATGCAACACAAACGTTTGTTTATCTTCATGTTTGTTTACTATGGTTTTGTTTAAATCTACTTACTAGCTACTTTGTTGTTCCACATAGATGTTTGGCTGTGGGCAAACGTCCTCAGTCCTTGTCTCCAGATCCTTATCAAGGTGAATATAAAGTCTCACAAGAGACTATCATTTGTCATTCAAAGCCAGCGTCACTTAGCTCCACTGAAAGTTCTGAAGGAGGTAAATTGATGTGACTGCTTGAAATCAATTTTTGTTTTGTTATTAAAATGGCTTTCGATCAAATTGCATAGTTTCATGATTGAAATTCCTGTCAGGTTCATCAAGGAGAATGGAGAATTTACTTGATTTGGATCAAATTAACTGTGAGAAGTCTTACACAACCACGTACCAGGCTCTGAATGAAATTTGCCGAGGAAAAAGTGGGAATGGCATCATTGAACCATTGCTGCCGAATCAGGACTCTTTGACCATCATATCTTCTCCATTTCAGCATTCAGAAAATATATATTCTGATACTGGCAACTCCATGACAAACGGTTTTTCCTCTTTGGAGAGTAAGTTGGCTCCGTTAAGAAGTTTGGCTGAAGGAAAAGCATCTTTCAATGCTGGTGGGATTGGTGATGCCTCAATGTTGCATGTAGACCATTATGATGCACCTACAAACATTCTCACGGATGGATCGTCAATTTCTACAGAACAGAATCTGGTTGATTTTGGGCATTTTCAGGAAGAGCATTATGAAGTCTTACAGCGCAATGAATGCAGCAAGTTGACTAAAGATGTAAATAATGATGTTGACGGCGGCAGCAACCACTGTGAGAACGGAAAACTAGAAGAAGATGGCAAAAATGATGAAATGCTTGGTGGCATATTTGACTTCTCTGAAGAAGGTAGAAGCTTGAAGCTATAGCTGTAGCGTAAACTAGGCTTGGCCAGCTTTTCCTAGCTAATATGTCAGTTTTCTACCTTTCTAAATCTGAATTTACATGAGTTTACATGGTTGGATTTTTTTTGGCAGGTTGAGCTGGATTTATCACTCACGTTATTTGTTCCAACTGCTGTAGAAAGGTTGGTTCAAAGTCATTGAGATGGTTTAGCAATGTAATGTTTTGATCATCAAAATGCATTGCACGTTGTAAATAAGAGGGGGTGCTGGTGGTGTTGTATGGTTGGAGATTCATGCTCAAGTGTTGCAAAGAGCATGCATCATCTTTCCCCCTCTCTTTTGTACATTTTGTAGATGGAAATTCGTGAAAAGTCATGGAGAGTAGTGGCTTTAGGACAAGGGTTAAACTCAAATCAAAACTCTGTGGTACTTTGATTTGGGTTCAACTTCCTTTGTCTTGATGATATCGAGGTTGTCTGTGTGTACAGAAATTGTGTGAAAAAGGTCTATCTCAAGCTGTATAACAATATTGTTTTTCTGGTGAGGGGAAAAAAAAAACGCAAATGAAAGGAGGAAAAGATGAAATTGACTTTGTTTTCGTCAGTTCTGTACTTTCCTTTGTACTCTGGGACTGGCTTTGCAATTACAAATAAACACGTGGGGTTGTACATGCTTGCGGTTGTTGTTTAGGAAGTATGTGCAAGTAGTCACGTGACATTTGCTCAAAATGAAAAAGAAAAATCTACAATTAGAAACACAAATACAATAAAATTTTTATAAATTAATATTTTTAAAATCATAAAACTTTATTAATTAATAAAAAATTAATTTATTAAAATATTTTTATTTTTAAAAATATTAAATTTAAATATATTGTGATTATATGAATATTATTTAATTATTAAATTATGAATTATCATTATTTGTTATGAATAAATTATTAAGAACGTCATGAAAAATGACAATATAAAATTGAAAATAATAATTTTGTATTAGAGTTTGTTTCATACAACGATACACTCAAAGTAAAAATCACATTATATAATTTTTTTTTATAATACGAAATCACTATATTAAAGCTTCTTGTTATATTAAGAAAAATTAGAGATGAAGTTTAAAGAGACATCAATTTTAAGAAGAAATAAGTAAAATTGGAGTTATATTTTACAAAAACTTCTTAATTGAATTATATATATAATTTTGACGTATAAGTAGATTATTAATTTATATATCAAGTAAGGCCTATATATGTATTTTTTATAAATATATTATTTTATAAATTTAATGATTTATTAATTTATTACGTTAGTCTCAAGTTGAGACCAACTAAAAATATTACTTAATTAAGATTATTAATTTATTGAGTATTAATTTATAGAGATTTTATTGTATACAATTAAGTGTCTCAAACTCTATTCATTGTAATATATATAAATGTATAGATGTTCAAAAAGATTTTGACGGATGGAAACAGTTATGTTTTTAAATTATTATTTTAATCAATAAAATTTATTTAAATTGTAAATATATCATATTCTTTAATTGTATTTTTTAATTACACCAAATGATTGTCATTAAAAATAGTTTTTATTATAAATATTCAATGAAATTTATTCAATTTGTAAATAAGAAATTTAATTTTATCGAATAATTTTCATTTAAAAAATATTTTTTAAAATTTCAATAGTATTGAATAATTTATAAATTAACATTATTGAATTTTAATTATATATAATTAAAAATATTAATTATATTTTATTTATAATTATCTTCCAACTTATCTTTATTTATAAATAATTCATTTTACACTATAGAAATATTTGTATTATATGTAATTGTTATTTAAAAATAAATAAAATATAAGCACGCTGTGTCATGAACAGAAACTAAAGCTCAATCTCATACAATCTTAAACTCTGAAAATAAAATTTAAATAAATTTATAAATCACGAACTCATATTGTTAATTTAAAAAAATTAATTTTCACTTGATTGCATAGAAGATAAAAATTACTTGTATTTGATTTGGATATGAGTTATGATTATTATTAGCTTTTCATATATAAAGAAATTTATGTGGATTTTTAATTTAATGATTGAAGAGTTGTCCAAGGGAGATAAGCACTTTCCTTTTTCTTTGGCGTTTTCAGTTCATGATAACCAGATTGGGATAACTAAAACTAAAATCTCCTAGTATTATAAAAAATGTTTTAATATTTAAGAAAAAGAAAGAAAGAAGAGACCGACAGATGGGGCATGGACTGCAACCACGAAGAGATACTCATGTTTGGATTTGATAAATTTGGTGGCCATCTATCTTACGCCCTCAACCTACCTCCTTCTAATTGGCTCTTCCCAATCATTTGCAAGCCCAAGACAAGGTCTCTTCTCGTTCCGCACCACTTACTGATAATATCCCACCATCTGTCTGCAGGGTTTTGGGTCAATTCCATGGAACATAACATAACTAAAGTTAAATGGAACCTTCGTTTTCAGTGCCTACGTTACTTAAGTGTTGTGTCAGTTTCAAGGGAAAGCAATCAAATAAAACAAAATGGGCCGTGAATTTTTCTTGAAAGGAAAATTATATACCATCGTAAAAATGGTCAAGAAATGAATTACTTGACAATACCGCTTTTGGCAAGTCAATTCATACTGACTTTCCTTAATAAACATTAATCTTCTCAAAAAAAAAAAAAAAGTCCTACGGTTTCTCTTTCGGTTTTTAAGCCAGACAGGGCCTCCATTTCGTGTGTTTTTTATTTGGTCTGTAAGATCTGCCATTTTCAAAGTGTCTGCTTTTAAGTGATTAAGCTGCTTTTTTTTTTTTAAAAAAAAAAAACAGAGACAAAAGCAGGGGCGGTCACCATGGATGTTGTCAGTCAGTTGCAGAGACAGTTTATTGACTACTCTGCGTCTCTGCATCGTGAGGTCTATATCTTCTCTTTTATGTTTTTTGCTTTATTGGTTAGATTTTACAAAGGTTTTGATATTTTGAATCAAATCTCCCCCATGGGTTTGTTTCAAGCCTTTGATTCTTCTATGGAAAATATTTATAGGAAATAATCTTTTTCTATATGGAAAAAAAAAAGAAAAAAGCTTTTGTTATAATACCCAAATCTATTGAGTTCTTATCGGATTTGTTTTCCCCGGGAGAATAAATCTGTTGTCATGGGAAAAAGAAAACTTTGAGAATTTTTTGTTCTTTCATTTTATTAACTGAATCTTTTACCTTTCCGTTTTCTTTTTGGGGTATTTGGAGGTTTCCTAGTGATGGGCTGTTATTGGTTTTGAGCAGGGATTTGTGGATGATCAGTTTACTCAGCTCCAAAAGCTGCAAGATGAAAACAGCCCCGATTTTGTAGTTGAGGTTGCCTCTCTTTTCTTTGAAGATTGTGAGAAGCTTATTAACAATATGGCCAGAGCTTTGTAAGTGATTTACTGTCTTTGTGTTCCTTTCTCACAATCTTTGATTTCTCATGCAAAGTCTGTTTTTTTCTTTTCAAGATGCTTTTAATCTTCTTTTTGGGCTTTTGAAGAATGAAATAGCTTCGTCTGTTAAATAAACTGATAGTTAGTATCTGGGGTTTTGTTTCCCTATTTCTTCAGAGAGCAACAACAAGGTGTGGATTTTAAGCAAGTAGATGCTAGCGTCCATCAGCTAAAGGGTAGTAGTTCCAGGTATTCATAGACAGTTCCCCTTGATTTTTTTAACTGACTTGCTACCATTTAATTGGTATATTCAATCTCCAGTGTTCCAATGAACTAAATTTATCATTGTAGAGCATCAATAATGATGCCCTCAAAGATCAATCTATTGTTTTTTCTATGCATCTTGTAGAGATTTCGTATATGCTGATTAGCTTGTAAGTTTCTTATGAGTGTTTCTGTTTCCATGGTAACAGCATAGGTGCAATGAGAGTTAAAAATGTATGCATTAACTTTCGAAGTTTTTGTGAGGCCCAAAACCGTGAAGGGTGAGTTCTGCTTCCCATTTATATCATTTTTTTTTATTACAATTATTTTTTTATAATCTCATGTAATGCTCAATTAACTCAATTGGCCACCCTCTGAACTTGAAATTTCTCAATAAAAGGCCCTAATAACATATTCATATGTTATTGTCGCTTGTGTGCTGCTTTGGTTATACTAAAAGAGTAGAAAACTTCAGGAAAAAAAAAAATCTGAGGGCAATATGATTATACTAATGAATTGAAAATTTTTGTTAAAAAATTTGTTGGCTCTATGTAAATTAGTTCGTTAAACCTATAATTCTAGAGAGCTTTTCTCTTCCCTTTAGCTCACGCAGTCTTTGAATTCTTCAGTCTAGAATTAAGGGTTAATAATCTTGCTTACAGTACTGTTATTAGTCACTTTTGCACATCCTGCTCATGTTAATAAGATGTTTGTCTGTATATAGTGAAGATAACATCTCTTGATCAGTTTTTTTGAGAACCACATGCTGTAACTTTTATGCATGGGTAGAAGGCTTCTAAGAGCAAAAGGTTAATATAGCATCATATTGGTCTTTTTAAGAGAGACACAGTCACATCTTTATGTGCACTATGAATGCGTCAAAGAGCAATACACATGAAAATGGATATTTCTTTAGACTCCATGAGGAGAATAACCACTAGTTGTAGTGGGATTCGATGAATTTATCCATGAAAGGTCCACTTTATGTAACGCAATGACAAACTTTTATTAGGAACAATAACAAGAAGAGGAATATGATAAATTTCATTTGATTCAACCATTAGAGCTTCATTCGTGGGAGAGATAGAGCCACTGCTCTCTTGAACTCAGCTCCAGAAACTAGAATGAAAAACTAATATTTAGGCACCTAAAGCTAATTATACTTATGTTAATACCATTTACGTAAATCAATTTATCAATTAAATGGATGGATTAGATGGTAGTTTGGTCAGGAGGCATTTTCTTCATCAGTCTGTACATGCAATCATAACCGGGGCACTTAGGAAGATTAAAAAAGCATGGGTGTGAGCAAGAATTGTAATTTGCTCCTTGAAGAGGGGCACCATTTTCATGAAAAGCTTAAGCTCCCAATGCTAGGATGAGAGCCAGTGAAGTCATTCCATGCACTGTTGTCAAGTGCAAAGAGCATTTCCTTTTGCTTAACCAAGTACTTCACTTCCATTAATCATGACATTTGGCTGAATCATAATTTAGTCGTTTTAAATTGTTGGTCTAGAGAGATTTTGGTCGAGGAAACTCTGCAAGTGAGTGTGCATGCATTTGACAAGTTGTTCTCAATTTTCTGATGGATAAAATTAAATTCAACAAGTTTTCTGGAACTTCAATTAATTAAACACACTAATTTGCTTGTTGTCACACCTTATGCCAGTTCTAATATGAAAGGAAGATGATACCTTTTATGCATCTTTTCTTCTTACTCTCTTACAATGAAGGGAGTGAAGGGTTGTAAAAGAATCTGATTTATTTCATAATGTTGGGACAGGTGTTTGAGATGCCTGCAACAGGTTACTCATGAATACTCCCTGCTGAAGAGCAAGCTTCAAACTTTATTTAGGGTAAGTGTAAGAAACTGAGGCTAATAGAAACTACTTTCTTGCTGCATGGCTTTGATCATCTAAGAAGAGATTTTCATTTTGTTAATGCTTGTATTCCACTGGGAAAAAGTCCATGTGTGCTTAGTTGTTCAAGTTGAGTTTATCAGTTTCTACCTCCAACAGTAGTTTTAACTTAGATTGTGCCTTTTGGGTCTTTCAGCTGGAGCAACAGCTCCTTGCAGCAGGTGGATCAATTAAATAACATCCATGTCATCCTCTGGTCGAACAAAGGGATAGTGAATAGTTGATGTTGCAGATACTTTTTTCTTATGAGGTTTTGTAGTTTTAAATTGTAACTATGCTAAAGTATTGAAGGATTTTGCTTAGATCTGTGTCTAAAGCCTGTATGAGGAAGGGTGATGCTGTGAATAAAAGATTTTAGCTTTCTGCTGCGTAATCATATACATGGTACTTTTCTTTGTTGTTTAATGTTGAGAATTTTCATGTTAATCTGATCAAACACTGAAGGGTGTTTTTTATTTAGTATTTGTTTATTATTTTTATTGAAGCACATCTTTGCTTTACATAACTAAGTTGTATGGATGACTGCAGATGGCTGATGTTTAGGGTTAGTGTAGAGTAATGGTAGTAGAACCAAAAATTTTGCATGTAGGGCACCCTTAGAATGAAAGTTGGTGAACTTGTTATTGTCTGTATGCTGGTCATAGTGAACGCTGCTAATTCTTAAGTCAACTATTGGGAAATGAATGCAGATGCAGCCGTCAATGATGGCAGTTGACTGTGTTCTTCTGTCCTTGGTAGGCTTAGGTAATCGGAGTGTGGTCTGATAATTTCTGAAGAAAATGTGATCCAGATTCCAGAGGCAGTACAAGCAGTTGAAGCATATAACTCACTACTTACCAAGGACAGTCGCATGTACCAGTCCAATGGCGATGTTTCTCCATTGGTCAATCTCTTGACATTTCTTCTTATGGGATTGGCACTACTCAGTTCAGCTTGCCATTGTCTGCTGAACTATATGAGCATAAATTATTGAAAGCCATAGCCTGATGCCCTGATTATCTTTCCGTCTCCTGTTAATAATTTATTTACTCTTTTCGTTGGAGTTCAGCTTTCTTCATTGGTTCTTCCTATTAGTGCATTCCCTTGGCCGCTGACTGCAGCTTTCGTTTTTTCCCCTTCAGTTTGTAAGTCAGAAGAGAAAAGAGAATCAGACTTTGAAACTTAACCTCCAGTAGGAATCTATAGCAGCAAATCAAGGGGAAAAACCCCAAAGAAAGGGGATGATAATCGCTGGACCAAACCCAGGTTTGTTGAGATTCAAACAGTGGGTGAAGGAGGTGTGATTCATTTTGAAAGGATTACACATTGAAAGCTGATCGAAAGTCTAATAGTCAGTAAAGTTGTTTTATGGTTAAACTAAGAACCTAATCTCATACTCATCTAAGCCAGTGATCTGGTTCCAACTGGGTAGCCTCAGAGATGAAATATCACTTGGAAAATCAGAGATCAGGCTAATGTTGACTTGAATTTTGCAGACCGATCAAAAGCCAATACGTTAACGTTAAGCAAGGTTTCCCACGACTCATGTTTGTAGGACAAAAAAAAAAAAGGAAAAAACAAACAGTTAAGGTGAGAGGGACATGTATCTTGACATCCTAGGCAAAATCAATGTAGTATGTCCGAAAGTGTTGTTGGGACATTTACTGCCTTGAGCTGGAAGGAATATATTGTTTTGGTCATGCTTGGAGAATAAAATTGTATTATTGCTTTTGTCATTAATTGAATGATTCATGACCCACAAAATATCAATTATGTATTGATCTAAAACATTGGATTTGGCTATCAATCAATCAACATACATGATCTGCTAGCTACTCAGCCTCCTCCCCCATCAGCTGGCGGCATCATCACCCCTTGAGCTTCCTCTTTCAATTGAGATTTGGTATTCAGGAAAAGGGAAGGTAATTAATCGAAGGCGACATTTGATTTGGGTTGGAGTGTTAGTTACTCAATTCAGTAACCTACCATTACTGCCATAATTGACCTCTCTAGATACGAACAATGATATAAAGAGAAGTAGGGGGATGGATGTTCTTTTGTAAAAATAGGGGAGGCAAATGCTATAGCAATAACTAGAGACGTAAAGTGTGTGCAAAAGGGAAGGTGTGGGATATAATGAAAGGGTGTAGCTGGATGACAGGGACGGTACCAGAGAGTTATGTGAATGTGCACGAGGAAGTCTGCAACTGCAAGAGTGGCTCTGCCTGGCTTGCCTGTCTTCAGCTATCCAAAGACCCTTTTTTGGTCACATAAGGTTTCCGACCGCATAATGCAAAATGGAATACCATGTACTAGACATGCACATGATGAATGATGTGCCAGTATTTTTGGTTGTTGGGTTTGGTGCGTTCCCTGCACGCATCCCCATTCAAAATTAAAAGCATCGTGGGACCAAATGAAGTTGAGGGAGTTGGGGTTGCAGCAGCTTATAAGCTGACGAGAGTTTAAAGCAAGGTGTTTTCCCTTGCTTGATGCTTACTGGGGACATGGTTTTGAGTCTTGTTCCCTGCAAAATCTCACAAACTTTACCTTTCACTTAAATGCTTTGGTTGTGCTGTTTATTTCCCATATCTTCTTTACTCACCATTGGAGATTAGACATTATTTATTTGCTTGTTTTGCTGTCACTACATTTCATTTCCTTTGTGAATTTGGATTTTCCTTGGAGGGTTTAATGCTCATTATGGAATTTCTTTATTGGCAATCTCCGTAGGTTAATTTTCACTTAACTTCAACTGATCAGTTTGAAACGATGGAAGCAAAATATTGAATGGATTTATCTTAAAGGATGACTAGGATTCCTAGTTTAGCAGCAAAACCATCGAGACTTCAGTTCTTACAATAGAATGCGAGTGAAGGGTTCTTTATATAAGAATAAAATCAAGCAACGTTACACTGTAATAATGATATTTTATCAAATTATCATTAAATGATATCCCGAAAGTGCATAACCAAGGCAATTATCATTGTATGAGTGGAAAATATATTCACCTAGCTTGGAGGTCGTTTCATACTTGTTGGGATGTATTCTGATATACTACCATGCCATTTATTTTATATTTTGATCCACTAAACTGAGTTGTATCTGCTGCTGCAGACTAGAAACCAAAGTCATTTACTAGATGATAATGTTTATTGTTCCGAAAAGAAGTTCTATTGCCTTCTGCTCTATATGCCAAGTCATTCCAGCAAGAACCCAGACCCCAACAAGGGTATTGCAGGGAAGGCCCTTTGCTAGGAAATTGTATCTTAAACTTTCACCATGTTGTTTGACTCCCAAGTCTCCCAATTACCCCATCTGGAGTGCATTGCATCGCCCAGTTTCGTTTGTTATTCCTTTGGGACCAAGAAACGTCTTTGGCACATGAGAATGTCAAATTTTATTTTTAATTAAACTTTTAACCAATTTCTGTTATTGTATTCAAATATGTGATTTATTGATTAATGTATAAACTTTTATCTAAAGAATAAGATTCGAATCCGTTTTTCACAATTAACCAAAAAAATCAGCTTTCTGCTGTGTTCTATGATCTAAAAAATGCAGCATTGCATTGCTGCCTGTGGCTTTGATAGCTTTATAACACTATTTGAGACCAACATGACAAATCAAAATTTCACCTAAAAAGGACAACTCGAATTAGTTATTAACACTGTCGCTATTAAAGAGCATTTATTCAAAATAATTACGCTAATCTGATGGAGATGCACGGATATTAGAGAAAAGGAACGGGTTAGCTGCTAACCCATATTCTGCAGATGGGCAAACGACAACAGGCAATTGGCAGACAAGCTTTTTTTTCTTTTTTCGTTTTTTATGCCACTTCACTTATTGATGACGTGTCATCTCTTAGCTGGATATTGCCACTCTGTCCTCGTGGTCTTCCCTAATTGCTACCTTCCTTGGGATCACCCGTACTAGTCACGTGATCCCTGCCTCGAACGACCGCCCCTACCTGCTGACCTGTCTCCCGAACCTAGCCCTTGCCTTCCACGTAGGTTCGGACAACCGTTTGTCCCCGAACCTATCACTAATAAAGAAACAAAACCAGGAATAGTTAAAAAATAATAAACAACAAAAACAGACTAATAAAATATAGTAAAAACGGAAAACATACATTCACCTATTCACGCCCTTTCCAGTAGCCAGTTTTATTCATGAGTGTTAAGAAGTAAGCCGTCAATGCTCAGCGTCTTCTCTTAGAAGCCAAAATGATGAAAAAGTAAACCCCCCTCTCATCAAGAAGAGAAAGCAGAGTAGCAAGCAAGATATAAAGAAGAAGATTCAGAAGCAAGAATCAAAGAACAAAAAATAAGTCTTCTGTCTCTCTCTCTCTCTCTCTCTCTTTCTCTCTGGTCTTTTGCTTCTTTTGCAAGCTAATCTTTTGTTTGTTTTTTTAATTTTATTTCTCTTTCTATAATCTTTGATGCTGATAGTTTCGCCATTAAAAGCTCTCACGGTTGTGTCCCACGAGAAACCGGTAGTCTTCTCTCACGAAAAAGCCATCGTCGCCAACCCAAAAGCCTTCCTTTTTTCTTGTTATATTAACCACTCTCGACTCCACTCTTCTTTGCTTCACTGCAAACCTCGGTCTTTCTTTTTCCAATGGGAAAGCAAGGAAGAATGAGAGTGGCTTCTTATGCTCTGTTTTTAGTTGTTCTGCTTCAGTGTAGATTCTTGGCTTTTGCAATTTTAGACCCACTTGATTTTTTAGCTTTACAATCCATTAGAAAGTCTCTCACTGACTTGCCAGGCTCCAATTTTTTTGCTTCCTGGGACTTCACCGCCGATCCTTGTAACTTCGCCGGAGTTTACTGCGAGGCAGACAAAGTAATAGCTCTTAATCTGGGTGACCCGCGTGCTGGTTCGCCTGGTTTAACCGGAAGGATAGACCCGGCTATTGGCAAACTATCTGCTCTCGCGGAGTTATCAATTGTTCCGGGTCGGATCTATGGGTCGTTGCCGCAGTCAGTCTCGCAATTGAAAGACCTTCGGTTTCTCGCGATCAGCAGGAATTTCATCTCCGGGGATATTCCGGCCACTCTCGGCCAATTGAGAAGTCTTAAAACGCTTGATCTCAGCTACAATCAGCTGACCGGAAAAATCTCTCCCTCCATTGGAACCTTGCCTGAGCTCACCAATGTCATTCTCTGCCATAACCACCTCTCCGGTTCGGTCCCTCCGTTTCTCTCCCGAACCTTAACACGGCTCGACCTTAAACACAATGCTCTCTCCGGCTCGCTCGCTCCAGACTCCCTCCCTCCTTCTCTCCAGTCCCTCTCTGTCTCCTGGAACCAGCTTACTGGACCGGTAGACAGGCTTCTATCCAGGCTCGACCAGTTAAACTACCTAGACTTGAGTTTGAACCAGTTCACCGGTCCCATCCCTGGACGGCTGTTCTCATTTCCGATTACAAACCTTCAGTTAGAAAGAAACTTGTTTACGGGTCCAGTCCAACCGGTTGATCAAGTGACAATCTCGACCGTTGATCTGAGCCACAACGGGCTGTCGGGTCAGATATCACCTATGTTCTCGACCGTACAGAACCTGTACTTGAATAACAACCGGTTCACTGGTCAGGTCCCAGCCAGCTTCGTGGACAGGTTATTATCTGCCAGCATACAAATACTTTATTTGCAGCATAATTTTTTGACCGGGATCGAGATTAATCCAACGGCCGAGATTCCTCTAAGCAGTTCGCTGTGTCTACAGTATAATTGCATGGTTCCGCCCGTACAGACGCCGTGCCCATTGAAGGCTGGAAAAGAGAAGACTAGGCCTACTGGCCAGTGTAACGAATGGAAAGGGTAGATCCGTAATTTTATGGCCTTGTGAGGGGCCACTTTGGGAAAAAATATATATAAATTTATACAAAAACTAAGATTTGTCCATTCATTTGTTTATTTTTGTGGTTGATATTTTGAGGGTAAATGGGGAAATAAGAGTGTTTGTGGATACTCTAGATAAATTGTAATGTGTAACTCTTTACTATCTTGCGGATTATGATGTTCCTAATGACCATAATATATTTATGTTTGGGATAAG